AAATTTCAGACCTTTTAGTAATGTAAACTAAGATCTTAAGAGATACTGTTTCTTGGCCAGTAAGTGATAACTTTAGATAATTGGTGCTGATCCTGAAGGTTCAGTGTTAGGAGGGCATAAAGAAGGCGCTTCGCATTTCTTTGAGTTAGAAGGAATTGGCTACGACTTCGTGCCGGCAACATTGGAGTTTGATAATATTGACGGATGGCAGAAAGTATCTGATCGTGATGCTTTCAGGTAAAATATGTTATTCTTAACTATTGGTCATTTGATAGGTAAAAAAAAAAAAAGCAGTTCAGGCTTTCCACCTGCTTATTTTTTTAACCGTAAAACAACAAATAAACTTACTCCTTAAAAAGTCATTTTTTCAGAATGGCTAGAAGACTGATCCGTGAAGAAGGTCTTCTTTGTGGTGGCAGTTCTGGATGTAATGTAGTTGCAGCAATGGAAGCCTGCAAAGAACTTAAGAAGGGGCAGAAATGTGTTGTCATACTTCCGGACAGTGTCAGGAACTACATGTAAGAAATGCTTCAAAAGAATCTAACAGGACGTAATTGATTTCACAGTTCATTCCTATTAGACTCCTTTCACACGATCAGAAATCTGTATGACTTTTGAAATATTACTGTCATCTAAAAAGTTGCTTTTCAGGACTAAATTTCTTGATGATGAATGGATGATTAAACGTGGATATATGGAGAAAACTAACAAACCGTTATTAAAGCCAAAATCGTATGTAAATTGGAACTATTACAGAATTATGCAAAACTTGGCAAAAATTAATTTTTCCTAAGCCACTGATTCAACTCGCTAAATTGAACTGCAACGAGCTAAATGTTTGCTTTGTGACTTTCAGCAAAATTTATCCATTAGGCACTCCTTTTCAGTGATCAAATGTCTGAAGCAGGTAAAAATTACCGTCCCGATAAGTACCTGAAGTGTCATTGGAGTACGTTACATCCAGAAACCAACGACTGTCCATATAAATTCAGGACATGGCCGTGAGCGTTTTAACAGCATTTAGGAATCCATATAGTTCTATACTTCTAAAATCTTTTTTTTCTTTATTTTTTTTTAAGTATGCAAAAAAACTGTAAAAGAACTAAAGGAATGGTTTTTAAGCGGAGCACCAAATCGAGCAATTGGTGAAACTACAAGAAGCAAACATTTTGAACAACCAATGCTGCTGAAGACAGTGTTAGAGGCTATTGGTAACACGCCGTTAGTTCGGCTGAATCATATTCCCAAATCATGCGGTGTTAAATGTCAAGTTTGTAAGTTCTAAGATTAACTCGCTACATTTTAAAAATAAAAAAACTTCCCTAACGGTAATAAAAATTCTGTAGTGCTTTCACTTTGGTGGCTCTAATTCATTTTCAGCTAATGAAATCAATGAACAGTAATTGTAATAAATGTGGCTGCGTTTTATTACAACCGACAAAAAACAATGAGACCACCAAACTGAAACAGAGCCAAACTTCCCATTAAAATAATTCAATTTAGGAAAGCACCTTTTCCCTTCACAACATTTTCGCCTTTAGATGCAAAATGTGAATACATGAATGCCGGCGGCTCTATAAAGGACAGAATCGCTTTACGTATGGTAGAGTTAGCAGAAGAACAAGGAGTTTTGAAACCTGGTATGACAATCATTGAACCAACTTCTGGTAACACAGGGATAGGTTTAGCACTGGTGGCTGCAGTTAAAGGATACCGGTGTATTATTGTGATGCCTGAGAAGATGAGCAAAGAAAAGGTACCACAAAACTTCACTTCAACTTTAACGTCTAAATGCCTTGGAGTTCACTACCAGTTTTAAAAGTAAAATGAACTAGAAATATTACACTGTTTGACTAGTTTTATTACTCAAATTTCCTATTCTCTAAATAATCTAAAAATTGTTGCTACAGTCCGATACATTAAATGCCCTGGGGGCTGAAGTTGTGCGCACGCCAACTGAAGCAGCCTTTGACAGCAAAGATTCTCATATTCAAGTTGCAATACGGCTTAGAGACGAGATAGAAGGAGCAGTTATTCTTGACCAAGTAATCCTTTCTCTAAATAAAAAAAATTTACAAGAACAAATTTGCATTTATCCGCTTCTTTTTTCCTATTTTTATTAACTATTCAGTACGTTAATCTTGGCAATCCGATGGCACATTACGAAAACACTGCAGAAGAAATTTTATATGCATTAGATGACAAGATTGATATGGTTGTTGTTGGCGCAGGGACAGGTGGTTCGATAACTGGAATTGCACGGAAAGTTAAAGAAATTTGTCCAAACTGCAAGGTCAGTGCTGCTTTCCACCGCTTTCTCTCACTGCTTCACTAAAAGCTGTCAGTGAAAACTGGTCCTTAAAGAGTTTCTAAGCAATTAAGTTTATGCTGTATTCTCGTGACCCCGTATAAATAACCCAATTTCAGATTGTTGGGACAGACCCTGTTGGCTCAATTCTTGCAGACCCAACTCAAAAAGAAACTGCGTTCTATGAGGTAGCTCTTCAATTAAAATAAATTAGCGTACAAGATTAATTGGCTTAGAGAAACGCACCAGTAAAACTAAGGTCCTTTCAGGTTGAAGGAGTAGGGTACGACTTTGTTCCTACAGTATTAGATCGAGATGTGGTTGACACATGGGTAAAAACGACGGATAAGGAATCCTTCCAAATGGCAAGAAGGTTGATAAGTGAAGAAGGCTTGCTATGCGGTGGTAGCTCCGGGGCAAATGTTGATGCGGCTATGAGTGTAGCGAAAGACCTTCGAGAAGACCAAATATGCGTTGTTGTCTTACCAGACAGCATTCGAAACTATATGTGAGACCCATTCATCTCTACTCCTCATAACGTCACTGATAATTGCAAATTACAATAGTTTATAGATCTTTCAGTATTAAGTAACGCTCAACCAACGTTTAACTAAGTACTTCACCGTTGACAGTTTCAGGTCAAAATTTGTTAACGACGACTGGATGACTGTCCGTGGCTTTGATAAATAAAATCTATTTCATTTACATATTAGAATCAACCATAAGGAAAAATAACGGCATCTCAAAGTGGTGAAGCCGTATTTGAAATTCCTACGCAGTCAGACCATTACCAATGTCTGATGTTAACTAAATCTATTCGTTTTTCAATTTTCAAACCCAAAATTACTTTTGTTTCCTTGTCACTGCTGCTGTCTCTAAAAGAAAAAAAGTACTTTAACACTAATTAATGATGCTCTAGCTGATCTTTACTCATGGCCTTCTCAAACCTTTTATTTTACTTACCACGTTATTTCACTAATTTCAAACGGTGGCTATACAATGTGTTGTTGTTTGAACATCATCAAAGGAATCACACAGTATTTGGTGTCTGTAATTTACGGCATCTGTAAAAAAAGAGTTAAGGAAAAGTTGATTATTTTATCGACAACCAAAAAGTGGTGGGAATGTTATGTTTACTTAAATAAAACTTCCTATGAACAATTATAGTACGTTGCCCAATGCAGATTCAACAGCAACTTAGCAGATTCATCACGAGAACCTCGGAAAAAGCAAAAATATAAAAAAAAAAACAATTGCTACAAAACAGCGAGCAACTACGACTCATAATAATACACAAAACTTACTCAATCAAAGGAAGCAGAACTCTGAGAAAACAATCTTTTGGAAAATAAAGAGATTGACACTTCAGCCACAAAACTCAACACTGTATTGATCCAAAAAACATAAAAACACCATAAATTAAGATATTATGGAAATGAAAGAATTTAGATGAAAAAGAGGAGTATTCGGCGAAATAATGGAGTATCTTTAGCACCTTGTCTCATACAAACCAGAACGTCCGATATATCGCACCCACTTGATTACATCATGATCAGAATAATTCAACTTTGGCTCAAATACTTTCAAGTACCGTACTTTCAATCCTGACGGAGCAAATGGAACCTAGATGGAAAATATAAAAGAGCAACCTGAGCCCCATTTAGAGCCACACTCTTTTAAGAAACAAATAAATCCAGTGCAATTTTTCGAAATTAAACAAAAAAAAGCCCTCGTGAAGTTTTCAAAGTTGCTCTAAAAATCAAAAACAATTATTCTATATTGAATTAAACTTTATTATCCACTCTTCAAAAATGAAGAGATACAGGAAAATTAAGCACAGAAATACAAAAGTATTTCCGCAAATACCTCAAAATTCATTGATACAGGTGGGCGATTCCACTTCTTTTTTTCTGCAGCTCCCGTGCACAAGAGGTCAATTTCCGCAGAAATCTGGGACTCTTTCATACCTCCCATTCGTCTTATCCTCAATAAAAACTTTAGTTTTGCGAATAAAAATTAAAGAAAGAAAAACGACAGTTTATATTGATTAACAACTTAAAAAAAGCACCAATGCTATACCCATATACATTTCCATTAATCAAACAATAATGTGGTCTTACTTCCAAACAATTGCATTTTCTCCTGCCTTATATTTAGCCTTTCCTTTCATGCAAATAAGCTGTACGCCACTCGTATTCGGTGGAGTTGGGATACGAACTTCAACCTTCTGTGCAAGTAATGATGGTTTGAAATTAGATTTAACAACAACCTTGACCTAAAAAAAAAGATCAGAACCTAATCGAATACACAAGCAGATTTACTGCACACATAAATGCGTAAAAATTTGAAAAAAATTCCATCCAATCCTGATAGAACTTTCAAAAACAATAAAATTTCATATCCACATAACAACAAAAATTTATACCTCCATCTTATTTCTTGATGTTTCACGAACCAAAGGTATAACGCGAAAAGGTAATTGAATGTCCTTTGTAGTTCGATAACTAAAAAGTTTTCCGGCAACAAACGGTGTACAACACTCTTGCCTCAGCGCATACACTGCATTTAAAAAAAACTAAAGCAAAATATACCGCATTAGTTCATATTCGCCATCAGGAGGAATAAAGCTGATAGCATGCTCGGTATCGAATTTTGTAAGCTTGACACACTGGTGGAACTGGCAGTCATCGATGGCAACGGACGTTCGGTTGCTAATAAAATATTATAGTAAAAAAGCAAATTTGATGTACAGAAAACTCAAAAAATTTAACTCCCCGATTCAAGTTTCAAAACAACTCATTTGAAAGTTATTTCATAAGACGATAAACAGCAGAATTCAGAAAAGTCAAAAAAAGTCCCTAGTCATACCATAAAAAAAACAATTAAATTAATAATTCAGCTGATTTCAATTTTTCGGCCGCCCAAAGAAAAAAAAAGAGCACTTTTTGGTAGGATCATCTACGCCAGATCGACCTTTACTCTCAATAGTCAATTTGTCATTGATACCAAATTTACATTCGGGCATTCCGGAGAGATACGACTTCATTGCAACTTTCCCAGCAACATGAGCGGACAGCACTTGTCCTTAAACTAGTGCCGTAAAAAGCGAAGTCAAGATAAGTAATCAATACAACAAACTTTTTAAAGACAACGACAATTTAACAAAATTATCAGTCAAACCTTGTTGAGACATTAGCAGGTTGACGTATTCTATAACATCTAAAAAGAGTTCATTCCTCCTATATTTGATACCCTCACGGCGCCAACCGATTTGACCAGTGACTTGGGAAGTAATTTGAGATTGTTCCTCTTTGGTCTGAACAGCGAAAGAGTTTTTAAAAGTTGTCAGAAGAAAAGCATCTTCAAAATTCTGATTTTAATATGAATGGTTCAGAAGAATTACAAAAATTATACCGCCGTTCTTACGCCCTGCTGAGTTATGAAAGTTTTTAAAATCCCTGGATCAGTATTTTGTGGATAGCCAAAATCAAGAATTTCTGCAATATTTTTAAAATTAAAAAACCGCATCTAAAAGAGCAACGAAAATGGAATGCTTGACTATAAAACATACCGTCTAAAATTTCATAAATAAGTACAAAGTTATTTTTTACGTTCTCTTCATTCAACTTTCCGAAATAAGACTGCATCGTTTCGGCAAACCTAAAGAGATCTAGAAAGACTGCGGCAAGACACAATGTTAAAGAAATTGAAGTTTGAAAACAAAACAAATCTAGAAACCTATTATTATAGCCTCAGTGAAAATGTAATTTGTTACAAAACAAACCTGCTAAGAAATTCAAATACCATTGCAGCGTTGACATTTTGTATAGTCACTGCGCAGATCCAAACGTTTCCTCTCTTTATGTGGAAGAAAGAAGTTCTAGCCATATTCGTGACGGGACTACGAACCTGATAAAATGATTTAGTTTTTTATATGAAAACAACAATAAACTTATTCTTACCAGTAAAGAGGTCCAAAACTTACTCGTGGAACGTTGGAAAACAAGAATTTTATAAGAGCTCTACCAGATTATGAAAATACTGGAGTTAATTATAATACTGGAGTCATTTAGTTTGAAAGTAACAACGTATCTACAGAAATTTTTACATTCGTACCTGCTGTCTAGCATGAATAACGTTAACACGGAAGGCGTCAACAGCGTTTCGGCTAGAAAAATTATATTAGTCTTTAAATAAAACTGCAACGAATAAGTTTCTTAACTACTTGTTCTTCAGCTGCTGAGCAACTTTAAAAACCCTTCCCTATTATCAGTTTTTAATTATGACCCTTCAATAAGCATAACGAATAGAAAAAGTTAAAACGAAGAAAATAAAAAAGAAGAGCATAAAATAACCAAAAAAACTTCGAAAATGCAAAAGGAAAAAGTAATAATAACTAAATGAATAAAACTGAATACTCTTCAACGCGAAAACTTTAGTTCTAACAGGACTTAAACCCAATTGCAATAAACTAAACGAACTTCAATTCTACTGCCCACATGTTCATATTAACTGGCAAAAACCTGAATAGAGGAATCGATTCTAGGTAAAGTCAACAAAAATACCAACCTGACATCGTCCCGATAAATCCTTGATATCAATACCTCACCTTTATGGTTGTAAACAAAAAGGCCGCCAATCATTTTGTGAACATACCTGAAAAGAAATTCAAGCTTTCAAAAATTGATTTGGTTGACGCGTTATACAAAAGCAAATCTATGTACCATCAATGCGCATAACGAATTTGCCTATATTAGCTGGATGGTTTACCAAACAAGCATATGCTACTAGTAAACCCGTGAAATTTAACAGAAATGAAAATTAATAGCCGAAGCAAATAACACATTGCTAAATTCTTTGAATGGAACACAAAACGTAAAATCAGTTTTTCCTTCCAACTTTTGACTTTTTTTCTCAGAAAAATTAAACAAAGTGGCAGATGTGCAACGCGCCCACATAAATGGAAACGTTGAGAAAGAAGGGAATGAGATCGTCAATAATTTTTTTGGAAAAGCGGTTTAAAAAAAATCCTATAGGAATCGAAAAATGGCATTTTGCCAAGGGAGAGTTCGGCTGCCAGAAGTAATCTACAATTTTGTCATTTTGTCACACACGCAAACACGCAACTGTATATCAACACAACAGACACGCACAGACACATACAGATTGACACTCATTCACCGGTTTCCACCACCACTACAACTACCACCATCACAGCACCGCCATCACCATCATCGCCACCAAAAGCACAGCAGACAGTGGTTTTTTTTTCTCTCCAGCGTCAGTCGTCTCTGTAACAGCAGCACTATGTGACTGCCCTTTTTCTCCTCCCCTAAACCCCTTCTTCCCCTCCCCTCCCATCTGGTGCGATGTATCATTGTTGTAGCACGAAAAAACGTTAATTTTTTCACTGCTTCCCATCACCGTGATCAAACTTAAGGTAACAAGGGGTGGCACAAGACCTCAGTTTTAAACTCGCTTTTTTTTTTTTTGATCGTAACAAAAGATTTATCCTGCTTTTCCTGCGTTTCTTTCTCATTTAGGATCGCATTTACCGCCACGATAAATAACAGAACAAGTATTTATTTGATATTTATATTTGTTGAAGATGTTGGCGTGAAATTTGTGTTTGCATAAAAAAGCTGATCACTTTGACTGCTTTGCGGGTCACCAGTACGTCATTGACCTCTTAAGTCACCTAAGTTTTTTTGTTCCTAACTTTTTCGTCACCTTTTTTTCCATTTTCACTCCTTAAAACTGTTGCTCAAAGTTGACAGCAGGAAAAATTTCGTTCACTACTCGGATTTTTGTATGAACTATTTTTGAAGATAGACAATTGACCTGGCTCGTAGTTAAATTTTTTCGAACTTTTGAAAATTATTTGATCATTAAAATAAAGTTTGGCTTAGAATCCAGGCTTGAGGAGGTAGGAGAATTGTGATGAATTTCTGTGCCAGAGTGTATATTAAAGTTGGTATTTCACAACTGGTCAAAGCCACTTTGATGGGTCTGTGAAAATGTTTTTTTTCTGGGTGGAATCAAAATTTTTTCAGCTGAACAATGATCGCAATACTTGTATAAATCGGAACATGTTAAGCTTTTGTATTTCAACATAGAATTATATTAGTCAGCATTACTCTCACATAATTTTGGTAAGGAACACGTATTACGTGGTCCAATGCTACAGATCAAGGAGAAATTTATTTTATGGTTTTGTAAGGTAATAGTTGTTTATATAGCTTGTAAGTAAATAATACTGATTCGTAAAAAAGGTTCTTTTTTTTTCTTTTAAAAGGAGAGATGGGAAGGACTTCAGGTGGTTGTTAGTTTTTGGAAAATTATCCTGGCCTAAGGGGAACAACTTTTCTTATGTATATTTTTGTGGACAGAGTCTGCTGCAATTTTATTTCTTCTCTCTTATCGTTTTTTGCTGCATGTAAGAAAAAAGTTTTATGATCTACTGTTCAAGGATGCTGAACCTTTTCGACTTAGCGTGTGTAATATTTCTTCCTGCGTTGTTTATGCAATCGTCGTGTTGTCTTTAAAGAGATTTTTAATGTTTTTTAAATTTTCCTAGAAAGTTGTCTCATAAATCTATCAGTACCTGCTTTTTTTAAATGACCATTCGGTTTTACAATATGTATTATTCATTATTTTTTTTCTTCCTCTTCTTCTTCTTCTTATTATTATTCTTATTATTATTATTAGTATTATCATTGTTATTATTACTATTATTACTATTACGAAATCTATCATTTCTTACTAAAACTGAGGGGAGTATGGCATTTTAGTTTATGTCTCGTCTTGAATACTGAAAAGTTGTGCATGTTCTTGCCTTACTTCACTTCAGTGCTCTTTTATTAACTCCATTTATCTCTTGAAAAAATTTCATGAAGAAGTAGGAATAAGGTTAATTGTTGTTAATTGTTTAAACTATGTTATTAAAGCCGTACCTTCCACTTTTTTCCGATATTTTTTTTTCTTTGCCTATTTAAGAGGTTCAAGCGATTATGCAGTAAAATCGTTCGACGGTCTGAGCACTGTTAAAGTTTTAGATAGAAAGCACGGTGTTATTACTGGGAGAAACGCCATATCTCTATGCTAAGTTTGCGCAAGTTGATGCGCAAACCGCGTATCGACGACTGGTCTCCTTTAGCGAAGTTTTATTACGCTGATGAAGCGCTTATTGCTGTAGCAAATGAGCTGGATTCTTTTGATGCACGTCGAGATCCGGAACGTTGTAATCAACTAGTTGCAAAATTGCGTCAAGCACAGGACCGACTTTTACACATTATATGTATGATTCCCTCGAGTTTTTTTTATTATTTACTGTATCACAAGTGTAATTTTAGTACTACTTTTTTAATTCCCTTTTGTCTTAAGCTGCTGTTAATTCCTCGATACTACTTTTATTTTAGCTGAGATGATGGTAATCGTATTTCCTCGGGAATCTGACAGGGCATGCCGCGATTATCGAGTTAAATTTCCTGATGAAATTATCCATGATAACCTACCAGGACAGCTGTGGTTTGGTGCTGAGGTTGTCTCTTTCTGTAAAAACTTAATTGTTTTCTGGATAAGTGAAATTAAAAAGGAAATTTTGAGAGTTCTTGCTCTATAGTTTTCACGCGTAGGACGGATTGCAGTCATTTATTATCCGTATTTATAGTGTATATAACTTCAAAGCATAATTTAATTTTGACTATAATTACATTTTCACGTGGTAGTGTCAAAGTATCGTCTGTTGACGTTGTAGTATTTGCTTTTGCTTACTGAGCTCGTTTTTTCCAATAATGGCTGCAGATTTACGAAAATGAGCAAAACACTGTAGGGTTAGTTTTGTACGGATTGTATTTTGGTCACTATACATTAAAACCCATCTTTTGTGTAACGTTAATATGTTATTTATTTTATGTTATTTTAGTGTTTGACAGCTGGGTCAAATATAATCGAACATGAGGCCGAGTCGGAAGTTATTAGGCCAATGGCTCGGGCACTTACTAAACAACTTGATACTCTTCGAGAAATACTGAAAGATCAGTCGCTGAGAGACCCAACTCAGTATTCCGACAAAATTAAATTAAATTTGAAGGAGTTTGATCGTTTATTTGCTGAGTTTGAACTCAAGTAACATTTGATGAATGTTTTTTGGTATTCTATTTGATTTACTTCTGATCATCTTTGTAAGTGAAGTCCCACCTGCGAGGCATCTAGATCTAAGATTTAAAACACATCATTGTTTTATTTTCAGCTATGTTAGCGCAATGGTACCTGTGAAAAGCGTTAAAGAACACGATTGCCAACTTGATGTTGCTGTTCTTTTTTCAGAATCGCTTGACAGGTTTTTTCCTAATCGCTTTGAATGGCTTTTTAAAGACGGATATAAACTTTTAGAAATAACTTTTGCAAGGGTACTTCTTGATTTATACTGCTAATTTTACAGGGCTTTAAAGCTGGGATATATCACCCAGGAGCATATTGATGACTGTGACCCGAATGTGATGATTACCCTCCCTCGCTTAGCAATAATTTGGTAAAAACTCACATCTAAATAGTTTTTGCGTATATCAAGAAACTTATGACATCTGCGTGCTGTTCTGTTTCTCGGGTTAGCGATAGATGCTGCTATGTTCTAGTCACTTCCCTGTAGTCTGTGGCTTATGTTTATTTCAGCGGGTTGATTTATTTTCCCGAAGGAGCACTGAATGTTGACGGACCAGCAGAAAACCTTTCAGAGATGTTTCGGCCATTCCACCATTTGCTTATTAAAATTCGCGACCTACTGCGTGTGCTAACTGCGGATGAGTTGCGTTCTGTAGAGCTTGCCTTGTGTAGTGGTGATTCTTCTAATACCAGTGACCATGGTCTAGATGCAACAACATTTACAATGAGTGATTTCAGACAGAGGAACGTCTCTTCGTCAAGGTAACTTTTATTTACGTTGTAGACGTTGCAAAAAGGTTTATTTTTTGTTTTCTGAACAGTTTTATGTAGAGGTGTTTCATTTGTATGTTTCTGAAGACAGTGTAATTTGCTTTTACATCTATACATGAGGTTAGCAAGCGTCATTTTTTAATTTAGCCAGTACTAGTCTCTACTTCTTCAGAATGAACGGTTGTGTGAACTCATCTGCGCAGACTTTATGTGTCTCAGAGGACTCAGATGATGCGGGTTCTAACGAATCACCATCACCTTCACGTTTGTCGGAGAATACTTCAGCTCTCGCGCATGAAATTCTATCACCGCCCTTTAACATACCGTCTTCCGAAACTACTGATTCCCATGACTCGACGATGTATAATGCTTGTTATAAATTTTTTTTTAATCATGCTTAATTTTATTAGCCAAATATTTGTTGCTTGTTACAAAGAGTTAGATTTTAGGAATTCATTTCGTGCATAGTTTGGTTCATTGTTTTCATTTTAGGCCTGAGAGGCCTGCTGACCCTGCGAATTTGAGATCTCGTTTTCGTTCTTCTGCTGATTTGGTTCACAGGCTTTTCGTTTGCATTGCCGGTGTTGCGGATCAGTTGCAGACAAATTATCCGTCGGATGTGCGAAAAGTTTTAAAAATGGTGTTGCAGCCAAACGAGTTAGTTCCTGTGTATGAAGTAAGTGCTTCTGTAGGAGGGGACGTGCTTTCATCTGACTAATTTTTTTTCTAATATCAGTTATACTCTTTGTTAGTTTTTATTGTTATTTTCTCTCTGTGGGAGACTGGTAGCGGGCATTCCTAATTTCCAACAGTATTTTGAAAAACTTAAAATTGCTATTGCCGGTTAATGTATCTGTCTAAAAAGTATTGATTTTGCAGACTTGTTCTTAGAAGTAGAACCGACAATTTTTTATAGGATCTCTGAGGTGTTCTGATCTAACTTTGTTTAGTGTTTTTCACTATTAGGATATTGGTATTAACGGTTCGATATCATTATTTTTTCATCTGAACTTGTTTTGGTCCTATATTTGTCATTTTTTGACCCTTTTTTTGAAGGTGCCAGGGAAAACTGCGTCGGTTCCCGAAAATGAAGAAGAAACGGGCGTTGAAGTTCAAGAAGCTTTACCACTTCCATCTTTTGTAGGTAATGATTCTTGTAGAGGTTTTTTTGGTATTTTATGATGGTAATTTGACTGTGAAGAGTTCCTGAGACGGAATGCTTGATTTTGTAAGTATTTGTAAATTTGTATAAATTGTTGTCAGTGAAAGCGAAGTCAGACCTGTTGGGTTTTGTAAGTAGTTACTTAGTCAAGTTGCAGGAGTACGTTGGGTACCTGATAGCGACTGTGAGCAGTGTACAGCATGCGGAGTACCTTTTACTTTAGTACGTCGTCGACATCACTGTCGCAACTGTGGGCGGATTTTTTGTTCACGTTGTTCTGCCAATTCCCTGCCACTTCCGGAATTGGGGTACGATAGAAAGGTAAGAAATGGTTTTCGTATCCCAGACTTGTTTTCTACGCTCTTTCCCACTCACTTTTCTTTTTTCTTGGACTATTTTCTTGTACGTTTTACAGATACAACTTCTACATAGACAGTAATGTCATGACAGCTTTTTTTTTTTTGCAGGTGCGGGTATGTAATTTGTGTTTTCTTTACAAAATCAACCCATTTTCACCAAGTGGGAGTGCTTCAGCAGAAAACTCAAGACAAGGTGAAACCACAACTTCATCCACAGCTTCATCCAATGGTTAATCTCTTTAACCTTCAAAGCCTTATTAAGCCTTTCATTGTGATACATTTTATAATATCCATTTTTTGTAAACTTTTGCTCAGGAAAACTAAAGAATAAGTCGTTATTCCTGTTTTTCTAGTCTTTTTCAAAGAGGTAGATGGATTTTGTTTTGCTGTTTTTTGTGAGTAGTTTCCAAAATTTCGGGACTATCCATGTTTTGGGAAAACCAGTTGAGTTTTTGGCCTCTGAAATCTTCATCTTTGCCTTATTGTCGTAGCCGCCAAATAATAACTTCATTTTTTTTCTTTTTTTTGCATATAATTATTTTTTGATTTATACGGTACACATAACGACTGTGATTAAAGCTTTCAAATTCTGTGGTATTTAGCTTAATCGCCTTTGTGTTTCTAATCTTGTTTGGACTTTAACATCTCCATCATGCACCTTCCAATTTTTTCCTCACATGTAACGGTAAAATACTGGTAGTCTGGATTTGATATTTTATCTGTATTTTTACGTTTTATGTTTGTATACATGATTCGTGAAGCTGTTATAATTTATTTACCATAGAAAAAAAAACAACATCCCTAGTCCTCGTTGCTAAAATCCAATGAGCATTGTGTTTTGAAAAAAAAGTCTGTTTGTATACCGTTCCTCAGTCGCCGAGTCATCTATGCCGTTAAACTGAGAAGTCTTGCCGGTACTGTTGGTGGTCATATTTCACAATTTCCTGGTAGTGTAGCCCCGAAATAGTAGCTTGATCCCAACTGGTTGTTATAGGTCATGTTTCGAATTTTAATTTAGAAAGTTATTCATTTTTTAAGGATTTAGAAAGTGAGTGGATTATTGTTACTAGTAAGGAGACCGATGGGAGGTTACAGCTAAAGAGGTCGCTACAATCATCCTTTGAGAAAACTCGGGAAACAGTTGTGTTCACTGAGTGCGAGCTTAAACAGGTGCCGTCTCTAGCTGCCTGTAACTTCTGTGGTTAAACTGTTATCTCCTGGGCATATTCAAGAAAGTTTCTCTTTACTTTGTGGCAGTGACATAGCACAGAATGAAAACAGGTACAGATGCGTTTTGAAGTTCATATTTCCCAAAAAGAGAGGAACCGATAACGCAACTTTGCAGAATGGGAAATTCTACTTTTATAGTGACTGTGTAACACGAAGTACTCGGCGGTTTGACTTCTTAGTTTTTAAGTGTAGTTTTTAATCCAAGGGTACCATCCTGAATTACAAAGCTTGAAAATCTGCAGGTCAAACAGAAGTGATGCCTATAGTGGAACATATGAATCAATATTATCCGAATACTTTTTTTCACCACATTCTAAAACTAAAAACTGACGTTTTTCAGAAACTCATTCGTGCACTATACCTGTGAACCATTTATGAGAAAAATCTTACGAAACAAACATTATAATCAAAAAAAGTATCGGCCTACTCCGTACATTCAAAAATACCTGATTGAATCGGTTAATGGTTTAACAACTGCACTCTGAGGGCACATATAAAATGTATTCATTACTGTTTATTTACTGCATCAAAAAAATAAATAATTATTCAACCAAATAAATAAAAAATAAAAAAGAAGTGAAAACCATACAATAAAGTCAAAAAAGATGAGTCAGTTAGAGGAAAAAAAAAGGTAACTTATAACAAGCGCATATATATATACGACGACAGTATAATGTTCTTGCTTCTCTCTGCCAATCTTTCGCAATTTTTATTATCCAGCATCAGAGTGAGCCTAGTAGCAAATATGCAGAACATATTTTCAAACTGTTTCGCCTCCCAAAAAAAACCCAGAAGAGGCAGGACAGTTGTGGATAAGAAATATTAATTTAATAACACCAATAACTGCCAACAACCAAAATCGTTTTACGATAGCAACATTACATTTCATTGAAATGTCGGCTATTATAACAGTGTTATTACAACGTGCACTACGAAAATACTAACAACAAATTTGCCATACAAATCCTTTAAGAGTTTAAAATTGTTACTTCGTAGTATTAATGTGGTCAGTGCCAAAGAAAAAAAAAAAACAACAATTATTATTATATGCAACAGCACTATAATTAATACGTAAATAAAAAATCTAACGAGCATAAACAAAAAAATGAATCAACATCTGTTTGTACTGGTTTATATCCAGGAAGTGGGCCGTTTTTGCAGGATAAAAACATGATAAGATGAACCGATAAAAAACACACCAATGTCATTTATAACACTAACATAAGTGCTGACTTTCACCCATTAAAACAATGAAGAAATTATAGACATACGAGGGATAAAAAAAATTGTGATGACAAAAAAAAAAAAAAAAAAAAAAAAAAAAAAAAA